GAAAACCAGTGAGGATTGTGAGGCACTCCAAAGGGATCTGTCAAGGATGGGCAAGTGGGCATCAACATGGCAAATGGGGTTCAATGTGGCCAAGTGCAAGGGGATGCACATTGGAGCCAAAAATCCTAAATATAAATACACATTGATGGGGTCTGAACTGGCAGAGACTGATCAAGAGAGAGATCTTGGAGTTGTAGTAGACAACTCACTGAAAAGGTTGAGACAGTGTGTGACTGCAATAAAGAAGGCCAATGCTATGCTGGGGATTATTAGGGTATTGAAAACAGATCAGCCAATATCATAATGCCCCCATATAAATCAACGGTGTGACCTCATTTGAAATACTGTGTGCAGTTCTGGTCACCACACCTTAAAAAGGATATTATAGCTTTGGAAAAAGTGCAGAAAAGGGCAACTCGAATGATAAAAGGGTTGGAACACTTTCCCTATGAGGAAAAGTTAAAGCGCTTAGGGCTCTTTAGCTTGGAGAAACGATGACTGAGGGGAGACATGATTTGGGAAAGAGGTACTTTTCTCCCTTTCTCACAGTACAAGAACCCGTGGGCACTCCATGAAATTGCTGAGCAGTCGGGTTAGAACGGATAAAAGGAAGTACTTCTTCACCCAAAGAGTGATTAACACATGGAATTTACTGCCACAGGAAGTGGTGGCGGCTACAAGCATGGATGGATTCAAAAGGGAATTAGATAAGCATATGGAGCAGAGGTCCCTCAGTGGCTATTAGCCACAAGGTATAGATAGGGGCTCTGGGGCAAGTGATGCTCTGTCTTCTTGGTGCTGGGGGGGGGTCAACAGTGGGAGGGCCTCCTGATGGCACCTGGTATTTCTGGCCACTGTGTGACAGAGAGTGTTGGACTGGATGGGCCTTTGGCCTGATCCAACATTGGCGTCTCTTATGTTCTTACCAGTACCTTGAATTTAGCAATGAAACACATGGCCAAGCAATGCAGCCTGTACAAAAATGGGTCCCCTCTGCTTCTTACAGCAGAAGTCAATCTGGCTGTTGCATTCTGTACAAAAAAAACTATTCTCTGCTCTCAACAGTACAGACTAAGTGTTCCTCTGGGCCCCTGCTGGTCCCTGGGTTTTTTGCCACCTTCAAAACACACCCCATTTAAGTGGGAGGAAATATGGAATGGGATTATCATCTCCGAAGTCTGATCACAAGAACTGTTGCTTCAGTATACTAGTATTACTAGCATTCGGCTAGTAATGATATATCTTACTTAGGTTATATTTATTTTGAAAGGGATACAATATTGATCTATAGGATGGCCTTAACAGGGAAATTAGCATGGAACTTGGTGTGTGGGAGGACTCTGATGTTAAAATGTATATGCTATTCTAGAGGATAAAAGGCCTCCAGGTGCTCACATTTTACTCCAAACATAATTATTTCTTTGGTACTTTATGAACTTAGCTACAAATAATTTTAAAAACAACTTTAAAGACAGCCACTGTGAAGCAGCTGGAGTCAGAAGCTAGGTAAAGGTAAAGGTTTCCCTTGCTCAAAAGTCAGTTGAATCCGACACCAGGGATTCTCCATTTCCAAGCTGAAGAGCCAGCGCTGTCCGAAGACCTTTCCATGGTCATGTGGCCGGCATGACTAAACACCAAGGCGCACGGAACGCTGTTACCTTCCCACCGAAGTGGTACCTATTTATCTACTTGCAATTTCTTGCTTTTGAACTGCTAGGTTGGCAGGAGCTGGAACTAGAGACAGGAGCTCACCCCGTCTTGCGGCACCCGGGTCTTGAACTGCTGAACTACCGACCTTCCAGCCTACAGTTCAGCGTCTTAACCACTTGAGCCACCGCAGCTCCGGAGTCAGAAGCTAGCTATGCTGAAATAATGCATAGTACAGAAGGTATTGTTTGCCAACTTTCAACATGTTTGTCCAGAGACATTCAGTTAAAGCATAATTAGTTGATAGGAGACATCAGGCAAAGTTAATAACTATGCATATGTCCTACCTTGTGAACTAATACCCAGCAGTTTTATATTAATTTTTCCAGACTTTTTTCTTTTACTGTTGCACATTGTAGTTTAGTTTTGTACTTACCTCCTTAAACATATATTTCTCATTCCAACTGATAAAGTAGCCGTATCAAGTATGCTTGATGTAATATTTAAAGGACTGAGGTAAATTTACAAATGCATTCCTACCTGGTTGTTCATGGTGTTACACCTGTAATTCCATGATTTTAACAGCCTATTTTTAAGCAGGTACAATTCACAAACAGTAGACAGTGTTTGCAAGAACTATAACATGTGATTCTTGAAAGGAGTATATGGATGAATGAGCTATTTGAATTTTATGTTCGACCCTTGTAGCCATTGTCAAAGAGGGGAAGATGAAAAATATATTATAACTTAGTATCTGAAGTCTTCAGGCACTGTACTGTTTACAATAATAATGGAGACATCTGAAGCACTGTTCAATCTAATCTAGCTTCATTCATTCTGGTGGTTTGGAAACATAAATTGGATAACCTCATGGTCATGTAAATGGATATACCACCTGCTTAAGTTCAATGGCCATGAGACCTCATAAATTTATTTATTTATTTTATTTCACTTATACCCCGCCCTCCCCGCAAGCGGGCTCCGGGCGACTTACATAGGCACAACTGTGCAATAAAATACAACAAGATTAGAACAGTTAAGGCACCAAGTGCAATAAAAATAGGACAAGTTAAAACAATTAAAACAAAAACTTGCGTCTTGCAGGATACATTACGAACTAAAATACTCACTCCCTATTGTATATCGCGGTGGGATCAAAGAGGGGGGATGCCATGGGCCAAGATGTTCCAAGTGGCCAGTCGGCCCAAACTGGCGGTCCTGCTCTGCAGTTACTCAGTGGTGGCGGCGGCTCCTACTCAAAAGCCTGGCAGAAGAGCTCAGTCTTCCAGGCCCTGCGGAACTGTAAGAGGTCCCGCAGGGCCCTGATCTCCTCCGGGAGTTCATTCCACCAGGTAGGAGCCGCCACCGAGAAGGGCCTGGCCCTTGTGGCCGCAAGCCTGGCCTCTTTAGGACCTGGGGTCACTAGGCAGTGTTGTGACCCCAACCGAAGTGCTCTTTGGGGCCTGTATGGGGAAAGGTGGTCCCTCAGGTATGCCAGACCCTGGCCATATAGGGCTTTAAAGGTAAGCACCAGCACCTTGAAGCGAATCCAGACACCAAGATTTAAACTATAAACAAGTAAACATCTTTTCACATAGTAGAGCTACCATGTGTTAATTTGTTTCCATCCTGCACATCCTGATTCTTTTCAGGTACAGGTGGCAGTGGACTTCAGTACATATATGTCTTGTTGTAAACTGTCCAGAGAGCTTCGGCTATAGACGGTATAGAAATGAAATAAACAACAACAACAACAAACACAGAATACATATCAATATGAGAGAGAGGCAGAAAATTAATTTCAAAGTTATTTGCAGCTGAATCCTGAGCAGAGTTATTTCAGTCTAAGCCAGCTAGATTTAATAGGCCTAGACTAGAATAGGCCTAGACTAGAATACATGAAATTAAGCAAACTCCGGAGCATGATGGAAGACAGGAGGGCCTGGTGTGATGTCGTCCATGGGGTCACGAAGAGTCGGACTCGATTGTGCGACTGAACAACAACATACTAGAATAACTCTGCATAGGATTGCACTGATAGACAGCTAGCTGGTATATGGTTAGGATACTATAGAGCCAGCATAACAGTACTACAAAACAAAAAAATCTTCTTTTGCTGATGGGAGCTAATCCACACCTCTGTGTTCAACACTTGACAGAAGAATCAAGAAACAGAAGAATCAAGAAACGGCAACGCTAGATCCAACATGCACATCACCTTGAACACAATGCTTTTCAGTGCAGTTCCTTCCTACATTCAGTAGCTAGTGCTAAATAGCTGTGTGTGGATGTACATACAATGCACGAGTACATCAGTATTAAGTGACCCTAACAGCCTAGCTGAAAATGTAGACCCGTTTTGTGATTTAGCCATGAGTTTTACTGCAAATGTAATGAGACAACAATGAAGAAATTTATCTCATTTCTTAAAACAAGAGGCTTCCATTTTTATCAGCAGTGGCAAAACAAGACTGTTGTAGAGGCTTTCTTCTTAAGACATGCCTGATGTTCCAAAGCTGCTTCTCCTAAAGAACATGAGACACATTTTAAAAAATGCACAACTACTGTATGCATTTGACCTTGATTTTGGTTCTCCTGGCCAACTCAACCCATTTTATTATTGAATGGAAAGAGATACATAGATCAGTTACAGTTTTTCTATATGTTTCCCCAATAGAACTGCAAATTGCACAGTTGCATGTCTAAGGTTTTAGAACATGCACTAACTTCTTCAGGATTTGTGGCTGTAATGAACATGTTTCCAGGTATGTCCCTTTTGCAAAGCAGGCAGGCAGGCAGGCAGGCAGGAAGGTCAGGAAAATGCAAGTCTATGTTACTGAAGTAATTTCAGTTTGTTAGGTTTCCTTTTGGTAAGATTCAGTCATGTTGCCTGCAGCCTTGTAGCACTTTATGTCTGAAGATTTTCACCATCTCTACGCAATCAAATTGGCAGCCAAAGGCCAGTTTTCTCTCGTCACAGCCAAGATTTCAGAGCTCAATGCAAATGGAATTTTTAAGTCTGTTTGCAACTATCATACATTCTTACCTATTCTTGAGCTGGGCTTCTGGCTGCATTAAAAACTACCCTGCAAACAAACATCTGATGTTTCCTCAGTCTGGAAGAATCAGTATCCAGTGAAATAATGTGGTGACACTCCCCAGAAATTTTAAAACCTGAGTATTTGAGGTTACTATTGCGCAGTAATTAGCATAATACACAATTATCATATATGAAAATTATACATACACTTTAAAATCAAATTACTAGAGTAAAGGTTACTGAGCCATTATTCTTTTTTTACTATTTATTAGGTTTTATATGGATATAAAACCTTTCAAAGTATGTTTGAGGATATCATGCCTGTGTAGTACATATAATTAAAAGTTTTTACCACTTCTGTTCTTCTGGTTGTTCACTTGTTACAACATTCACAAATGGCCCATTTCACTTAAAGTGGGCAGCTGACTGTTGAATGGCTGCAATGCAGCTACAGACCAAAAAAGGTAATGTGTGTGCGCACGTCAAAAAAGGTAGTAGCAATTTGAACATCTAATGTCATCACCAAGGCATACAAAATACCCTGCAAAATTTGCTTTTTTAAAGGGAAGTCATTGTATTTTTGCAAAAAATGGCATAACTAAACAGGCACCTCTGTTTAAACTGCTTTCTCTGTTCATAGATTTCTTTTTTTGTAACACTAATCTGACTTCAGGTGCATCAAAGGCATAATTTGGTATGACAGACATCAATATCCATAACATTCTTCCACAAAAACAGTAAAATGTACCGTCTAAAATTTTTTTAAAAATGAAATACATCATTCTGTTATGAAACTCCTATACAAAATTATAAAATTTACACCATCTGAGCTGCCAGAAATGTTTTAAAAAGATAAGTTCTCCATAACTACTTTTTTCCACCATAGCTCAACACAGGGCAGTATAAATACCCAAGCACTTTTTTTTTTGGGGGGGGGGGGGGCTCAGACAACTCCCCTGTGCATAAGAGATGCATATTGTATAATAGTGTACTTCCCTTGCTCAAAGAAAGAAAACAACCACCTTAAAAACCTATTAGATGACTGACAACACTGGAAATCAAGAGCAATAATTCATCAGGATGCGAATTGGAGCTGTGTAAGCAACCAACATAATTATTGGAGACATTTTCTCAGTGCACTGGGCCCTCTTTGTTCAAATGCTTGGACTGAAATAAGGCACTTCTAGTGAGAAACAGCTCTCAAAAAATGACACAAGGACGAGATGAGTCAGATTTCAGGCTAAACAAATGAGGGTTGATTGAATGATATCCCAGGATGCAACAGGAACGACTCAACAGCAAGGGAAAGGCACAAGAGGTAAACACCTGGAAGAGGTGAGCCTTTATACAGAAGTGGTCACTCTGTCATTGGCATTATTGACCTCATTTTTGTTTGAATCCAGTCCTTTAGCAGCATTCATATCGTTCCGTAAATTCTCCACTGTCTTTTTCATGTTCTTTAATTCCCCAGGGTGTGGAGTGGCTCGCCTTAGAAGCGTCTTCTAAAAACAAACAGTGGAGTAAGTGATTTTGCTTATGTTGGTCCTTCTTCATTTAAATGGCTTTTCAGACTTAGCAATTAAATACCAATTGTTTTGCTCTGCCAGGAAATTTAAACATAAGGTGTTCTATTTAATAGCTGCTTACTCTAAAAATCAACAGATGCGTTTGGGGGATCTGGCTTGACTGGTCAAGAGATGCTGGAGGTAAAAGCAGCAATATGCATTTTTTTTTGGGGGGGGGGGTGTCACAGCTGCAGTGCAGGATAGCAGGTATCATATTGGAACTTTACACAAACAGATGCACCCAACCCTTACGTATAGAGGGATGCTTCTTTTGTAGCAGTTTTACTGGATAATTATTGAGTTTTGTATTCTTCAACCTTTAACTGATTATTATTGTTTTCGACATCTGCAGGGAATAAAGGAATACTCCCAAGAAATCATCAGCTTGATCCATTTCTCTTGAACAGCAACCCACACTTGAACCATGAATAGCAAACTACACTTGAAAATGAAGGAGTTTCAAGAGCAGTTTGTGTAATAAAGTGCAGGGGTTGCTGTTGGGGGTGGAGAGGGGAACGGTAGTGACTGTTACACAATATGCCACCAGAGTTACAGGATTAAAAAAAAAACATTGTTCTAATTCATGTGCCATGAACAAAACAGAATTTAATAGACATCTGTGTATGTTAAAAATAGCTGGTATGGCCAGACGGTTTCTGAATTCACTCAAGAGCAAGAGGGGTGATTTTACTCAGTTCACTTTCCTCACTACAACTACATCATGATCCACAGCAGCTGATTTTGTGGGTATGCAGGAGAAGTCAGGGAAGCACATAAGCAGGATCCAGCCCCATGGCTGGAAATGGACATTAGCAGGGAATTCTTTCTAAATGTAATGAATGTGTGCTAGAGAGGCAGTCCGTGCTGAGCATCTGCTCTTCAAACTGTCTGGTGTGCACAGTGGCAAACAGGAGCTCACACATGCCTGAAGTCCCAGCTATGAAAATTCATAGAAGTCCTACATATATATGAAATGAACTTATGTTCAGACAAGACATCCATAGCAACTTTGTTTAAAAGTACAGCAGCACATACACTTGGAATCAGAGGAGCCAACTAGTATGCAATTTTAGGATATTTAGGCTTAGATAAGTCTGGTATCTTTTTTCTGCTTGTGCAGTACTGTCCACCATTGCAGAGCAAATCACTCTGGCTGAGTACAAGATGAACATATTCCACCAGTGGAAAGCTCTTCATTCCAAAAGAATGACCCCACAACAGAGGACAGAGTTGTGAAAGCAGACGGTAGATATAGGATCCAAGTCATTAAAAAAAAAATTAATTGATTTTGCGGAACTATTAAGTGAAGAAAATGGCAGGGAATTTTTAAATTCTTTCATGCACTGAAATAAGTGGCTTCTGAAATGGTTTGTCTAATGCCAAATGTGGGATACTGGGTATCCAAAACAAAAATAATCACCTAATGACTCATCAACTAGCATCTTATTTAAATTGGGTTACCTCCTACTACTTCAGCAAGGCTGAGATTCATGGCCTAGATAAACACTATGCTTGTCTAATAGTACTATATACATGTAAAGCAAAAGCAGCTTGATTTAAAATGAGACACACAGCAAATTTTTAAAAAAACCATTCTGTGAACTTGTCATAATCAGCTGGGCCCTAGATAGATACAGGTTAATTATATATCATGCTAGTCACTTTTAAAAGTGTAATAGTGTTCTGCTCTATATGCATTGGAAATTACAATTGTTTTATTAACCTTTATAGGAGTTCGTGTTCATTGCTCCATATGGATAGGACAAATTAGAAATTTCAAAATTGTGCCAGATCCTACCATACTGACTAAGGATGCAACTATACTTTTCACAAACAGGTAAAGACTGAAGTCTTTACAAGATCACAGCATTTAAAAAACAGAACATAAATCAAGATCCTAACAAGGGGAAGACAAAGTGTAGTTATGTGACAAATTCCATTGGCAAACAACCTGGGCAATCAACACGAGTCTTCTGTATTTTAAATTAATGTCAGAACTTTGGTGGGCAACTAAGAGCCTCAACTCCTTTAAAGGTTGCCGAAACTTGCCTACAGGCTACTGAGCCTGTGGTTACTTTCACAGGATAGCTAAACACATAAACCTATTCATGCAGTCTAGTTTTTGTGTCCAGCTTTTCCTCACTGTCTCTATACCTGTAAATCCTTAAACTTTACAGCTACCACTAACTCCTGTTTGATATCAGTCCAGAAAGGTAGTATAAAAATGGCATTAAAGTGGGTGGGCTCAAACCATCTACTATATATATATATATATCACATCTCAGAAGTTAAACAGGGTCAACCCTAGTTAGTACTTATATGGGAGACCACCAAGGAAGTCTCAAGTTCCTATGCAGAGGCAGGCAATGGCAAACCACCTATGAACATTTCTTGCTTTGAAAACCCTATGGGGTCACCATATGTCAGCTGCAACCCGACAACCAAAAAAATAAAAGCTACGCCTCCTAATACTACCTTCTCTATAGGAACAGCACATTCAAGTGGTGATTGTAACCCACATGAATGTTTATCAGCAGTGGTTATCTTACAACTGTCTGTCAGGAGTTCACACAGTAAGTTACTCCTACAGAAGCCGGGAAATTGACACAGCCACTGAAGTACACAGAGTGCAATTATCTTCCTTACCCTCAGGGATGATATACATTGGGTCTATGTTGCATGTGAGTGTCCATAAATTACTCATAAATTCTACCTGAAAAGCTAGCATTATGATACATGGACTACATGAAATTAATTAAACCTTAGCAATCATAAGCACTTCATAAAAACATGATTTTAATATTAAACCTGAAGTTTTCATCAGCCTAACTGGCAGGCAAAGATTTTGAAGAAGCTGGGATATATCCTACCAGCATCCTTCTAGGCTAGCAGAAGTAAACCTTGCCCTGCTGACCCCAGGAACCTCTTCTGACTACCTCCCTTGAAAATGAATTACTAATAGGGAAAGGGGGAACAAACCAAAAAAAAACCTTTGCAAGTTGGGGGGGGGGCTGCTGGGAAAGGAAGAGAAAAGGACTTATTGCCTATCTTCTGTCAAATGAACTGTGGTATGACACAAACCACTGGACTGGACAGGCAATCTGGGAAGTCATTTGTTATTAAATATATGATTCTGGGAAGAAAGGACCATTTTTTGCTTTTGTAATTTAGTCAGCAGTTTTTGACAAAGAACATCTCATTTTCCAGTTTCAAAGTCATGCAATCACTTTTCAGAGCAAGGTTAATATTTTAGTATATTTGACGTATTTTTAAGTTTATGCCGAAGGCCATGTTATGCACTATATTTTTAAAGTGTACATTTACAATGTTTTCAGAGTATCCCTGAAGTGTGAATGTATACATACATGTACCATACATGTACCATACAAGTATACTAATCCAAGACTCATCACTGGCTACTGATAAGCATTTTTGATGACTTTATGCGTACCTGTGGGTTTACTTAGGAGCAGCATCTGAAGGAAATGGTGACGAATTTAACAGAGGTCTCATAATTACAGTGACAGATGCTCCCACTACCCATTTCTTTATTTGGGTAGGAAACTGCACTTCCTGACAGCTCACAGGTTACTGTGTTCATAAACCAATGCAAATGGTTGTGAAATGAGGAAAGGACAATGGAATTGATTGTGGGACAGACAAACAGTATGGTGGGAGAGGAGCCCAATGGAAATCCCAAACAAGGGATGGCTGCCTGCAAAGCCAAAGAGTCCAAAGCTTACAGCCTCCACAGAAGTCCCTATTTCTATGCTGCCTTTGGGAAATCATCCTAAAGAAGCAAAAAAGGAAAGAAAACTAGTCACAGAAATATCAAATAGATCCATTTAAAGTAGCAAAGCCTTGCTTTTGCGTTGTTTTAAAAAGGTAGCACTTAAAAAAGCATTTCAGCAGAAGCATTTAGCATGTTGGCATATTGTTCTGTCTGCAGCTAATATACAAAACTTTGAATTAATTACAAGGGAATCAGCCTACGATGGCCTATGCTTTCTGAGAAACATACCATTTCATTATCTTCTTCATCTTTTTCATCTTCTAAGAAGCGGATTGCACTGACTCTGTTTACTGCCCTTTCATTCCATGTTTCATCTGACATTTCATTCACCAAGCTCTCCATCGCACCACATCGGGGCAGGTTATCTGTAATGATGAAAGACAAGGAGCAGAAACAGTGAGTTCACACATTAGAAGTTAACATTATTGCATATTCACTGGATCAGAAGTCAAGGCGATGAAAACTGATAGAAACTATACAATACTATATGACTTTCATTCATTGTTTTTTTAACGGCTTGTTCAGTGACATATTCACATCAAATGATACCCCATGACCTAGCTTCATATCAAGTTCATGCTCTTCATTATATCTGGGGGAAAATCATAACAGAGAATTTTAGATCTCCTGCTTTAAGGCCATTTCACTTTTACCTTGTGTTTCCGAAAATGCCCAAAGCATGGAACGTAAAAAAGATCATCTAAGGTGAGTTCAACTTAGACTTGCTTGCTTCAGCAACATTTAACAAAATGTAGCATATGGAATATATCTTCAAAAAACAATCATTTCAAGATTTGTTAAGAGATTTGTAATTATTCCCCATCAAATCAGAAACTAGGCGAAGAAGAAGAAGAAAAAGAAAAAAAGAAGAAGAAGAGATTGGATTTATACCCCGCCCTTCACTACCCAAAGGTGTCTCAGAGCGGCTTACAAACTCCTTTCCCTTCCCCTCCCCACAACAGACACCCTGTGAGGTAGGTGGGGCTGAGAGAACTCTGACAGAAACTGCTCTTTTTCAGGAACAGCTGTGCCAGAATTATAGCTTGCCCAAGGTCATCCAGCCAGGTGCAAGTGGAGGAGTGGGGAATCAACCCCGGTTCTCCCAGATAGAGTCCGCGCACTTAACCACTACACCAAACTGGCTTGGGAGAGGAGAGGAGAGGAGAGTGCTTGCTGGCAAACCAGTCTACTAATACCTTATAGAAACTATGTTAATACTTATAGCACAGTCCTACGAAGAGGAACTCTGCATAAGATAGTACTGTTGGTAACCTAATAGCTAAATAAGAAATGCTGGCGCCTGAGCAAGCAGAGCAATGAGAAACAAGGTTTTCCTTGCCTCCTTGTAAAGTGAGTCATCTTCCCAGGACTGGCCTCTCCTTCTCCCACATGGCAAAAAGCCCTGCCATCCCAAGGTAGGGAATGAAGAGGGATGGGAAAAGAACAGGAAACGCTGTGCACATCCCAGATCACAAATGAGATCACTACTTCCAGGTGTGCCCTATAAGAACTTCTGGCAGCCCGCTTTAACTCTGCAGGCGCATGCAGAAGGTGACACTCAGAAAGCATCAGCCCTCTGGCATGGCCCTCCCAGTGGGAACCAAAGGGCAGGATTTGATATGTGAAAGTAATTGTTTGCTCCCATTAGAAACTTTTAAAAATTGTTATTGGTAGTTCTGTGGTTTAAGAGTGACTTAGGGGTTAAATAATTATTGCTAATATAATCTGTTTTAAAATTAACCTTGGAACTAAGTTCAGATGTAGGGAGTAATTGATGATCAACATCTCATTGAAATAATTAATTCATATAATTGCCTAAGTAATCAGCCATTGAATATTTGATGAATTTAGCACCAAGTTAACTGAGTTAACGGAATCTTTATTGTGATTTTTGGACAAAAGTTTTTTGAAATTGCTTATAGCTGCATGGATAAAGGAAGAATTACTGCCTTTTTAGTAGATATGGGTCTTAAGCAAGGGAATAAGAATTCTAATGTTAAATTTAAAGAAGGTGAAGAAACCACTGATTTGATGACTGTTTGATTCAATTAAGGAATTACTGATTAAGCAACTGAAACAGACTGAGGACATAATTCCATTAAGCAACCAAACAAGGGAAGAACATTTAGAATCTAATTCGGATGCACAAAATAAGAAATTAAGAATCCAGATTACTGGATTTAATGGTTAAAGGGGACCTGGTTGACAGAAAATCTGAGAAACAAAAGGTTAATTATTTAGAAGAAAAATCTGAATATCTAGAATCCAGATAATCACAAATAGAAAAAAACAAATGAAGAGGCAATTAATTCTATACTATGGAACTGATCTAATGAAGCAGGAAAATTAAAGGCTATATTAGATGAAGTTCAAAATGAAAGCAGAAGACACAAATCTAAATTTCAAGGGATTCAAGGTTGTGAAGGAAGATAACTAATGTTAAAATGTTCAGCATATAATGAGACATACACATTTATTTGTATCTGTGGCCCACATCAAGCACAGGCAGAATTTTATAGATACTGATGAATAAGACTGGCAGTTGTGCAGATGGATATACTCTTCTTTGTCATGATTTTAATGGAGTAATGGAATCTAAAATGGATAGAACATATGGCGATGAGAGTGCTATGTCTCTCCCTAAAACTGTTCTGAAAACACTGGTGCATCATCAGCCTTTGTATCTATGGAGAATAGGGATGAGCAGTTTTTTTCCTCAGTATTTTTCAGTTCAGGTCTATTGAACCCCCCAAAATTGTGCAATTCCTGAAAAAACCTATATCCCGATACCAGTAAAGTATTCCGATCCAAGATTTTTCAGAAATCCCAATTTTTGGGGGGCTCAAAAGACCTGAAGTGAAAAATACTGAGGGGAAAAAAAAGCAGTGGCAAAGCCACAAAAAGGCAGCTCAGCTGGGCTCTTTTGAGAGGCCCATTTAAATTGGACTGCCCACAAGAGCTTGCAAAGGAGCCAATCCTGCAGGGTGAACTCTCCCCACATGCTCTGCTGGGTAGCCCGGTTTAAACCAGACTGCTCAACAGACCCTGCCAAGGATCCGATCCTGTAGGGAGAACCCTCCCTGTAGGCTGGGCCAGGGCTCTGCTAGGCAGCTTGGTTTAAACCGGACTGCTCAACAGAGCCCACCAAGGAACTGATATTGTGGGGAGATCTTTCCCCACAGGCTGGGCTGGGGCTCAGCTGGGCAGCCCGGTTTAAACTGGACTGCCCAACAGAGCCTGCCAACGAGCTGATCCTGTGAGGAGATCAGATCCCAGTTTGGTGTAGTGGTTAAGTGCGCGGACTCTAATCTGGCAGAACAGGGTTTGATTCCCCACTCCTCCACTTGTACCTGCTGGATGACCTTGGGCAAGCCATAGTTCTGGCACAGCTGTTGTTGAAAAAGAGCAGTTTCTGTCAGAGCTCTCTCAGCCCCACCTACCTCGCAGGGTGTCTGTTGTGGGGAGGGGAAGGGAAAGGAGTTTGTAAGCTGCTCTGAGACACCTTTGGGTAGTGAAGGGCAGGGTATAAATCCAATCTCTTCTCTTCTTCTTTTTAGTCTAGTTTCTGATTTGATGGGTAATCTCTTAACAAATCTTGAAATGATTGTTTTTTGAAGATATATTCCATATGTCTTGATGTGGAAGTGATCTCCAAACTATATTTACCAGGCTCAGAAGGGAGCTGAGGAAGTAAAACACATGTTAAGATCTTTTCTCCTATTTCAGGGTCTGTGTCTGTCTGGAATGTAAGCAAAGGCTGGGACTGGTTATCTGACAGCCACAAAGCCTTCAGCTTCAAGCTAGTCAGCGACATGGGAAGATGCAGCAACCTAAGAAACAAAAGAAAGACATTGTTTAAAAAACCCTCATTAAATTGCTGCAGGGAACAAAACAAACAGAAACTATATTGTCTTCTTTGCTGTAAACCCCTCCCCTCCCAGCCTTCATCTAAAGATGTAGATGTTTGGGACTGTTCTTTCTCATGGTTTATATATATATAGCATTCAGCACAGAACTTCCAGTATAATAATAATGCAGACTGTACAGTTTCTTTAAAGAACAGCTGATCCTAACTACACTAGTTTATGATGAACAGGAGCATGCAAAGGAGCCACACACAGTGGGGCAGGTTACACAGTGGTATTTATACAGGTGCCATGTTTAGTGCTGAAATCACATCTCTTAGGATGGAAAGTTCAGGTATTCCTCAGACAGGTATTTATTTATTTACTTTATTTATAGTCCACCTTTCAGACTCAACAAGTATTACAAAATTTACCAATGTAATAGGAACAGAAAAAAGCTTATAAATAAACACTGTAGTAAGACTGGAATATGAAGATACAAAATAGAATAAAAACAGAATAAATTATGACAAATGCAGAAACTGGATTTTGGCATTCTTTCAAATAACACCGGGGGGGGGGGGGGACAATGCAGAACAAAACAATGCAAACTAAGTTACTGGTATTATATGCTATCTCAACAAGATTAAGACTTGAGTCACATAACTGCTTTATGTTAATACAGCAACTATGAGAGCATAATGGTGCCTTCCATATACAGGTTTTGTTCTACCTTCCCTCCCCAACAGCAACAATAGTGCAGGTGGATTATGCTTCCATGCAACATGCTAATTCCAAGCTTGATGTATGTGGTTTCCAGGGCTTTCCCTTTACTCCAGCTCAAAGGGGAAACAGTGGAGTGGATAAGGCATCCGCATAAATAGGGATGAGCACAAATTGCATGTTTTATGTTTGGTTTGTGGGTCATGAACTGAACCGGTTTGTATCAGTTTGTGACCCCTGCTTTCTGCTCCCTACACAAAGCAAAGGGGAGCTGAAAGCAGGGGGTTCAATGGCTCTGCTTTATGATCCCTGCTGCTTTTCACAGGGAGCAGAAAGCAGGTTTTCCCCACAAAAAGTGGTGGGGAGCACTCGGCTGTTTTTTGTGAAGAGTAGAAATCAGAGGTTTAAATGGCTCAGAACCATTTAATCCCCTGCTTTCAGCTCTTCATGAACTAAAAAAAAAAAACTGCCTAAAATTTCTGGAAGTTCATGGCATCTCTTCAGTTCACAAACATCACTTTGTGAACCACGAACTGGCCAAAATTCATCAAGAATTTTTGTGAGCCAGTTCATGCCCATCTCTACACATAAATGCTTTGCCCACAGCCAATCTGAACAGGGGAAGAGCTAAGTTCTGCCTTCAAAGCTGAAAACGAAGATCTGCATTTTTCCCCAGGGCTTTTTCTAAGGGAGAAAAGGGGAATTTGCTGGACCACAGGTAACCCATTTGGGTGTTTTTCTTTTTAAAAAATATTAAGAGGTTTTGGCTCTAAAATCCCTGGGCAGGAATCTATATACTAAAAAGAATCATTAGAGATATGAAACCATTGTGCATTAGATGAATCTTACCCTTGTGTGTTAGACAAATCTTACTTAAAATTAAACTGAGAAATATATTCCCTTTAAAAAAAACCTGAACAATTGTAATCACATTGGGTTGTCAAAATGTTCTTCTCTTCAGGACATATTTTGTGAAAATGTGGTTATTTTTGTACAAATGAAATCTTACCTGTTCCCAGCTACATCTAGGACATGAAGTTCTGTGGCTTGTGATATCTCAGAAGGAATCCTAGATAACCGGTTGTCCCGTAACGAAAACACATTTAGATTGCAACACCCACCGATCTGTTTTATAAAGAGGAAGGAGACTTATTGCTGCACCAACATAGTTTTAATGAAGTATGCATGTAAGAGCTATGAATATCATTAATACTAAGTCACCCAAGAAGATGCTAGAATACATCTACTAAGCGGCAGACTTGTGATTCTTGTTCTAATGTCTTTTCAGCTGTTTCTGTGTAACATGCAGAACTTGTCAATTTAGCATAAAGAGAACGACATTACATTTCTTAAAAGTTCATCCGACAGCACCTCTACTTCCTTTTATTAGGCTTCCCAAACTCATTTCTTCTTCCCACACATTATGGTTAATCAAGTGCTCAGGAATGTATAATGTGGGTGCAGCTTTGAAACAGAATTAACAAACCTATGCACTTCAGATGCCATGTCAGTTAAAAGTACTTGCCTCGTCAGTTCACTGTATCTGCATTGCAGGTGACTAATTAGCAACTACTTGTACGAGTCAAACAGCTGAAAGTTTCCAACATGGTAAGTATTGAGAAAACAGGTTGCTTGCCTGTAACTGATGATCTTCATGTGGTCTTCTGTGCAGTCACACACATGGGTTCTGCGCCTGCGCTCGAACCCGACCTCGGAGAACTACAAGAGCTAGCCTCTGAGTTTTGGCACGCTTCCTTCCCGCGCTCTGGGGAGCAGACATCTACTGCACATGTATAGAGTGAGGAAGGAAACGCCCTCCCGCTCAGTTTCTTCTAGACTGCTGCGCTGGTCAGACCTACCTTGTTGCATTCTCAGTTTCTTCCAGCCACCGCTAGCAAGTCCCAAGAAGAGAAATGGGGGGGGGGGAGCATACCATTGAGAGATGCCAGCAGTGGGGAAGGCTGGGTGGGCATATGTGACTGCACAGATGGCCACTCAAAGATCATCAGTTACAGGTAAGCAACCTGTTTATCTTCTTCGTGGTCTCTGTGCAGTCCCACACATGGGTGTTTAGCGAGCTTAACGAACAGGATGGCGGGTGCAGGCATCTCCACATGAAGGGAAACTCACCACACAATAAAGAAACATGTAGGGATCAAATAAAAATACCAGCCTACCTGATCGAAGAAGAACACTAGCCATCAGTGGAAGACAGACTGGAGTACTGATTGGCCAAAGGACGCATCACGTCGTGCCCAAACATCAAGGGCATAGTGCACCACAAATGTCATCTGCGAGGACCATGTGGTGGCAGCAGCGCAAATGTCCTCCAGAGGGACTCCCTCAAGGAAAGCTGAAGATGCAGAGACAGCTCTAGTTGCCTCTAGTTTCAGCATGACCGGTAAAGGTTGTTTCGCCAACTCATAACAGAGCCGTATAGCCGAGGTGATCCATTTTGATAGACGCTGAGAGGAGATTCTACATCCGAAGTGGGGCTTACTGTAGGCCACAAAGAAACAAGGGTCCTGGCGAAAAGAGGATGTCCTGAAAAGGTAGAAAGTGCCCTGTGGACATCTAATGTGTGAAGGGCCCTCTGGCCGTCATCTGCCAGGTTAGCAAATAAAATAGGCAGGATGATAGGTTGGGTCAAGTGAAAAGCTGACACTAGGTAGGAAAGTAGGGTCAGTCCGGAGGACCACCTTGTCCTTATGAAAAATGGTGTATGGAGGATCGGCTTGCAATGTGCACAGGTAACTCGCTCTCTTAGCCAAAGTGACAGCTACCAAGAACACCATTTTCCAAGACAAAAGGTGTAGAGGTACAGTTGCAAGAGGTTCGAATGGCTTACCCATCAATTTTGAAAGCACGAGAGACAAGCTCCAGGCTGGAACAAGCGGTTTGACTGGGTGTGTGTGTGTGTGGAGTTTCAGCATACCTTCAAAAATGACTTAGAAGTATTATGTGAGAAAACAGTCTTTCCCTCAATAGGGTCGTGAAAGGCAGAAATGGTGGAAAGGTGAACTTTCAATGAGGAATAGCCCAGACCAGACTGGTGAAGAGAAATGAGATAGGTGAGGATCATAGGCAGGGGTGCCGTCTTTGGGTCTGACCCCTGACTGGTAGCATAGGAAATGAAACGTCGCCACTTTGCCTGGTAGGAATGATCACAATTTCTGCAGCGTTTGAAACGAGTCTTCCCTTCCATGCACCAGAAGCAAGGGCCAAGGGGAAGGAAAGGGGGGGGGGTGACAGACGGTACACTCACAGAAAGGCAGAATCCTTTTTGGTTTTTTTGTAGAGACAGAGGCAAGACAAAGATGAAGAAGCTGAAAAACAATGAAGGAAGAGAAGGGGCCTATGAGGCAGCTCAGTAGAGAGAACGCAACAAGGTAAGTCTGACCAGCGCAGCGGTCTAGAAGAAACTGAGCAGGAGGGCATTTCCTTCCTCGCTCCAGACATGTGCAGTGGGTGTCTGCTCCCCAGAGCACGAGAAGGAAGTGTGCCAAAATTCAGAGGCTAGTTCTTGTAGTTCTCCGAGGTCCAGTTCAAGCGCAGGCGCAGAACCCATGTGTGGGACTGGAAGATTTGTCTCCCCTTGCCGTGAAGCTTCCTTCTCAGTGCTCCAGAGTGGGGCTGTCCTTTGGACTCCTAACTTCTGGGTAGCTCCTCCCTCCTCCATAGGCAGGGCTGGTAGACTCTTCAGGAATAGAGGGGGAGGGGCTTATCCCCTGGAACCCAGTCGTTCTCCAAGCCGCCATTCCCCACAGTGAAAAAATAACTGACAACATTTTACTCCCAATGGGGAGCCAAACAATCAAACCAATAACCCAACCAACCTGCACAGGACCCTCGGGTAGGTAAAAAACACCCCCTCTACCTGTATCTGTATAGACCACCAGCAACACCCCCATCCATTGAGGAAGCGGTCCCCAAAAATAGGGTGGGAAGGACTGCCCCATTCTGGACCACCGAGAAGGAAGCTTCACGGTAAGTGGAGACAAATCTTCCATTCTCTGGTGGTTCAGGAGTGGGACAGTCCTTTGGACTCCAAACTCCAGTACCTTCCAGGGTGGGTCCCTCTGCTTCCCCAACTACAGGGTGTGTTGTAGGACCCTATGGCCAAAGGCTGCCTCTGCAGAGGCTATCTTGTCTATCCTATAGTGTCTCGTAAAGGAGTGCACTGACCTCCAAGTAGCCACTTTGCACACCACATCCAGCAAAGGAAAGCCCTGTAAGCTGCAGACGTAGCCATTCCCCTAAGGGAATGCACTGTCACCCCATGTGGGGGATCTAGCCCCCTAGCCTTGTACGCCAAGCATATGCACCCTCTAATCCACCTACTCAGGGAGGAAGGTGAAACCTTCTTACCCATGGCAGACTTCCTAAAAGACACAAAGAGGGAATCTGTCGACCTCATCTGCTTGTAAAAACTAAGTGCCCGTTTTACATCCAGGCAATGCCATTCCTTCTCTTTATAAGATTTAGGATTCGGGCAGAAGGATGAGAGAATAATCTCCATGGATCTGTGAAAAGCTGAATTAATCTTAGGTACAAAGGCTGGATCAGTTCGTAGCACCACTCTGTCATTATGGAAAGTACAGAGCTCCTTATCTACTGAAAGGGCCCCAACTCTGATACCCTTCACGCTGATGTGATACTCACGAGGAACACTGTCTTAAATGTTAACTCCTTCAATGGGCAGGTAACCATAGGCTCAAAGGGAGCCTTGCACAGAGCCCTAAGGACCAGATTAAGGTTCCAGGTGGGAAACCTGTGTGCTACCGGGGGATTCAGCAGAGATGTTCCCCTAAGGAACCTTTTAACATGAGGGTGCCTAGAGAGTGAGTGACCTTTCTTGACTCCCCTGATGGCTGAGATAGCTGCCACCTGATGCTTCAACGTATTGGTATTCAGGCCTTTGTCCAAACCTTCTTGAAGAAAGGACAATACCTCTGACACTGAGGTTTTAAAGGGATCCTGACCTTTCCTTATGCACCAGGACTGGAACACCTGCCAAGTGGTATTATAAACCCTATTGGTGGACCCTTTCCTGGCTGCTAGCACAGTCTTAACCACTCCTTCAGGGTAGCCCATGCTCATGAGTTGCTCCCACTCAATCTCCAAGCTGTGAGGTTTGTAGTCTCGACATAAAAAGCTCTGTTTGTCGATTCTGTACTGTGGCAAACAGATCCACTGTCGGAAACCCGAAACACAGGAAACACAGTCCTGTTCAGTATCCATTCTGACTGATCGACCCACTCCCGGCTCAACCAGTCCACTACCGTGTTCTCCCATCCTGCCACATGGATCGCCTTTATCGACTGAATGTGAGATTCTGCCCAGGCTATCAATAGACTCGCCTCTTTGTGTAGATGTTTGAAACGAGAGCCTCCTTGCCTGTTTACATAGGCCTTTGCTGTTACATTGCCCATCTGGACCGAAATGTGACAGTCCTTTATCTCTTGCTGGAAGGCCAGTCTAATTGCCCTGAGTTCCAACAGATTCATACTGTTGGACTTCTCTGACTGTTCCCAGGTGTCCCGTGCTATCTGTCCCTTCATATGAGCTCCCCAGCCAAACAGACTCGCATGTGTTGTGATGATCAACCTGACTGGATCCCTGAGTGGCACATCCTCCAAAAAACAGTTTGGGCCAGCCACCAAGTTAACTGTTGTCTCACCTCCTGCGGTAGTGATATTTTCTTTACTTTCTTCCGCGAATCAAATCCTGAAAAGGTTTGAGAAGGCGTTGTAGGGGGCACGTGTGAAACCTGGCCCATCGTAGCACATCTTGGCACAATACCTGCATTCCCAGCAACTGCGCTAGGACCATGATCTCTACTCTCTGAAGACCAAGGACTTTTTGTGTCAGTTGAATCAGCCGTTCTTGCCGTTCTCAAGATAGGAACATTCTGTCTCTCTTCGTGTCAATGTGTACTCCCAGGTGGAGAAATGATTGCGTTGGCATCAGAGAACTCTTTTCTGAGTTGATCACGAAGCCGTGTTTCCTTAGTACCGTCATCGTGGTCTCCAGAGACCGAGCCGTTAGATCGTAGGAGGTGGCTTTGATTAAAATGTCGTCCAAATAAGGGTATAAGGATACCCCCTTGGTCCTCAGCAAGGCAA